AGCTTTTACATTGCTCTAGCCATTGCTTTCAGGAGAAGGAGGCTAGGCTCAAATCCCTTTCTTTGATAAAGCAGAAGATTTAATTTGAAAGCTTTAGTACACAATTGAATCTCTCTGTTTAGTTCATGCTGCCTATATTTAGAACACTAGTTTAACCTGCATATAACTCATCTTATCTGCTGAAATGTAACAATACTTTTTTGCTGGGTAAGCACTTTCACTACTGAGCTGGAAAGGTGAGATACAGCACTATTTTATGTAATGCAAAAACAGTGTATGTGTTGGATGGTGCTATGCATACATTTGGTGCTATCTGACATCTTTCAATCTTTCTGTCACCTTTATGACATACTACTCTTTCAAACATTTAAACTGCTTTATAACAATAGAATCATGCTATTCACATTTTTGTATGGCGATAGTTGGAATAACATGCATTCTTTCCATATTTTTCTTAAGCCATACCTGTTTATTCAATTAATTTGGGGTACTGTAGTTTTTGGCTTTCCTAATGGATGTGATGTGAAAATAGTATTGTATGATGTACTATGGAGCATATATTTAAAACAGTAAATGAGACATTTAAAGCAGGTGAATGAATCATTGTAATTCAAACCACAAGCACCAGGAAGATACATCTGTAATAAATGTTTGGTTAATGTCACATTCACTGACCTTATGGCTTTATATGACATAATATTATATACATTTTTTTGCAAAAGCTCAGTGAAAACTCTTCTTTTTTTTAGTTATGGGCAGAGTGGAGAAGGGTTAGAACACCTGAAAGTTTTTATTCATATTTGTGACTTTGTTGGAGAGCTATCCCTTCACTTTTTTTTCCAGTGAAAGGGAGAGAAAGTGTGGGGAAAACATTGGCCAACAAGGTCACAGACAGCAGTTAAAATCTGACAGAAGTTGTAACTCTTCCATATGTTATCCCAAATTAAGCACTTGAGTCCCTGAGCCTTTGGGGTTGAAGCAAGGGGATTTTCCTTTAGTTTAATATATAAGGTGTAGCTGTGCCAACTTCCATCATCCAATCATATGCAAGCTAAAATACATTTTTTTCTTTACTTTCCTTGCATGTGATTGGATTTACTAGATTTCACTACATTCACCAAGTTAACGGAAGATTCCCTAGCAAAGTCTATGGGGTCTATTCACTAAGCTGCCGTAGGCAGCCGAGTGAATGACCGACCTAAAGCAAAGTGAGCCGAACGCTGTTCGGCTATTCACTTCAGGCTGGTACGGCTGATGTCAGCCGTATATCGGCTGAAATCAGCCGTACATTGGGTGGCTACTGGTCACAGCATGTTCGGCCAACCCGTAGTGCAGAAGGAGTACGACTCAGCCGATCCAACATCTGGATCGGCTAAGCCGAATCTCCGGCAGGCTACTCGCTGCTGTTTGGTCTATTCTTATAGATGCCGAACAGCAGTAGTGAATAGTCGAATGCCGCTGAGCGGCATTCGGCTCGGCTGTTCTGCTCGGTCCCTCTGTGGGACCGAGCAGAACAGAAAAATTGTTTAACCCCTTCATGACTGAGCTTGTTTTTAGTTTCTGTTCGTAAATGACTGACACACTTTTGACATTTTTGCTATGTGATTCTTCCATGTCAGTAATATACTTTCTTACAAAGTGCACCCACAGACAGATAGGGCTACATATTTATATCACATATGTGTGTCTAACGCCTCACTTAGGACAAATAAAATATAAAAAAAGAGGAAAAAAACGTAAAAAAAACTCTTTTTTCCCAGTTTTGATTTGTAGTATTTTTTTTTACAAAACCAGCACAGCTAAAAAAAAATGCAATAAATACATTCATTTATTTGTCCCTTATTTTATTTTTTTACACATTTTTTTTTTACACTTTTCACAATTTTTTTTTTTTTACACTTTTCACTTTTTTTAAACTTCAAAATGTTATTTTATTTATTTAATTATATCAAGCAGTCATTGTGAATTAATCTCACTTTTACTGCTTGATAAATTAATACATTTTTGGTTATTATCAGGCTGCTTCAAACTTCAGAAAGCCGATAATAAGTTAGTGACACTGATCCTGCAGCAGTTCAGGATTCAGCTGTCACTAAATGTTTTCTGATTGTTGCAACAACGATTAGCAAACTGAAACATTCTCCTTTCACGAATAGATACATTTTGTATCTACAGGTGAAACTCGAATAATTACAATATCCTGCAAAAGTAATGGCAGTAAGTGCTGCAAAAGGGGCCCAAACCAAGTACTGAGTACATATGCATGCTTGTACTTTTCAGAGGTCAGATATAGTTCTATTTACAATCCTTGTTTTATTGATTGCATGTAATATTCTACTTTTTTGAGGTTGTGGATTTGGGGTTCTTGGGGTTTTCATGAGCTGTAAGCCATAATCATCACAATTATGACAAATCACGGCTTGAATTATCTTGCTTTGCATGTAATGAGTCTATCTCATATATTAGTTTCACCTTTTAAGTTGCATTAGTGAAATAAATGAACTTTGCACGATATTCTAATTATTCGAGTTTCACCTGTATTCATGAAAGAAAAAAAAAAAAGCCAGTATAGCTTGAGAGAGATATCTCTCTGGATCTATACTAGCTGTCACAATGCAGGCAAAAGCCGGCATGTGTGTCCCTCTGCTTTCACTCTCAGACACCCGATATTAAGGTATCGGGTGTCTGAAAAAGTTTAACCCTTTCATTAATGAATGCCTCTGTAGTAAGGGCACCCATTAATGAATGTTAAAAGCTGATTCTCAGCGGTTAACAGCCCTCTAAAGCAGCAAATAACTTGTCACGTACAGTGTACGTGACGAGTCATTTGGTCCCTTTGTGGCTGGACGTACAGTGTACGTCTCCCGTCACGAAGGGGTTAAAAAGTAGAAAAAATAGAAAACGATTGTGCGGAGCTAGCAGTGACAGCTAGCTCCACCCAACAGTTTTCTATTGTCCGGCGGTTCTGCTGCCGTCCAAAAAAAAAAAATCTCCCGGGGCTCCGGAAGTCTCCCGCTCCTGGCTGCCAAGGAGAGAAACACTGCTTTTTCGTTTTTTTCTTTATTCTGACACGGAGCCGTGTAGGAATAGAAAAAAATTAAATAATTTTTGGCCATAGGAACGCATTGCTAGATTCCTATTGGCTATTTCAATTTGCAGTAGCCAATAGCAAACTAGCTATTGGTCCCGCCCCTCTGTCAATCAGTAGTTGTGGACCTGATGGAGAACTGCAGCAGAGGGCAGGTGCAATGCTAGTTTGCTATTGGCTAGGGATACACAGACACTTTTCGAGTACCAGTGCCGATACTTGGCATTTTCATGGGAACTCCCAGGGTTGCTGCGGTTGCAGCTGTGACCTGGCTCTGGCGCTCCACCACTGTCCTGAAATCATTAGTCTGTATTGTATTAGAAAAACTGTCACATGACAATAAAGAAAAATGTATCAGTACTCGTACTTGTAAGTACTTGGCAAGTACCAATACTCTTACTCGCAAAACTGGTATCTGTGCATCCCTTTATTTATATTTATAAAAACAAAATCGTACATTAAAACAGAGATGTACAAATCCCAGGAGCTCCGTGTGCTCCTTACAAATGACAGCTGCCTCCTAATTTTTTAATTTTTCTCTAGTCTAGTCTTGGAGCTCAAAAGTATCGGTACATGTACTCGTACTTGTACCGAGTACTGTACTTGGTATCTGTGCAACCCTACCATTGGCTATTGCAAATTGAAATAGCCAATAGGAATCTAGCAATGCATTCCTATGGCCAAAATTATTATAATTTTTTTCTATTCTGACACGGCTTCTGAACCGAAGGGGTCCTGGGGCTGAAGCTAGCCGAAGGATCGGCCAAAGCTACGGCTAGATCCTTCGGCTGCTTCCTGAATAGACCCTAATATGTGTTTAGTAAATCAACCCCTTTGTCTTCCTATACCCCATTGAGTCCCTGATCATTGTTTGTTTTTGAGATGTCTTGGTTGTATGTAACCCTAACATATTCATAATTTTTTGCAGGACACATAGCTCACTCACATGCCAGCAAATTTGGCTGTATATATTTTATTTTCCTAGGTTTATTAGGAAGAAATATTTGAAAAATATTAAAGAAAATGCATAAGATGCAATCAGTTTGGGTTTATGTAGATAGAACTTAACATGATGACAACATTTTTAGAGGTTTGCGTTCACTAAAGTTCAGAAAGACATTGCGCTTGCCTGTGAGAGTATTTGATGATTGTGCAGTAACTGCAAATGTCAAATAATTTGATGTAATTGTTGTACTACTTGGGGATTAATTTGGAAAGGGAATATTTTTAATTTAGATTTTTAATTGATTATTTATTCTTAATGTGAAGTGTACATGTATTTTTTTTTTACATTTTTTTTTCATGGGTAGACCTAATCTAACACTCCCATGCTTCTCTGCCATAATAAATCACTTGTAATAGTGATCTATTGCTGGCTGTAATAATTATTTCAGTGATCTGTTGCTGTAGGGAGAGGTAGGACAGAGATGGATCAGTTCTGCCCTATCCTTTGGACTAACATGAAATGCTGTAATGTTATTTCTGATGCCATGTCATTTCACTTCTTATGTAAAGACTAATTGTAAGCTTTGAGTTTACAGTGCTCTGCCACTGAGTGCTCTTATGAAAAGCTCTGTTGTAGAATAAAAGATTTAGCCGAACAGTGTTCGGCTCACTTCACTTCAGATCGGTCATTCACTCGGCTGCCCTCGGCAGCTTCGTGAATAGACCCCTATATATTTGTACATTTCCTTGTTTTCAATAATGGTAACCTGTCATATTGGTATTTTTTCAGAGGTTGTAGGGACAAGTACAAATGTGTCATTTATAGCGAAAGTGCAGTTCTACTTTAAGTAATCAATTCTATATGCTGTACAGTACTCTGTAAGAACCAAGCACATGTAATTTAAAGTATATTGCTTGTGACATGTGTCTGGTGTCCTATTATTGACTTAAGTGTTTTATTTTGCAGAAAATGTCCAAGAAGCAATCGGATCCACAGGCAAAAGCAAAACACTGGCCACTACAGTTCAGATAACACGACAAGGGCATCAACGCGGTTAATTTAAAGCACGCATGTTTCCACAATGGCAAAAATACCAGAAGAGACCGTGGACTAGATGAATATTAGTTAATAAATGGACAAAAGACCTGCACATGTTGCCTTGCATTTGTGGTAATTTACACCAATGAAAACGTACTACAGATATATTTGAATATGTATGGATATATTTGAAATAGTATACATTGTCTTGATGTTTTTCTGTAATGTAAATAAACTATTTATATCACATTATATAGGTTTTTTGTTCTTTTTAATGTATTTGGTATAATAAATACTCACAAATGAGAAATATTTACTGGCATTTGAATACTTGGAAGTTTGTTAGTTTTACAGTATGTACAAATGATGCCCATATAACATAGCAGAACTGGTGTAAATTTAATGCAAATTCTTATTAATGGCAATTAAAACTGTGTTATTCTTGCTTGTAACTATTGTTTTCATTTGTTTCTCATAATAATGATACTTTAAAGTGAGTTTAGTTTGTAAGAAACATAACTATATCCAAGCAAGAGAACATGATTAGTAAAAGTACATAACATGCTATTTTTGTTTTCGTTGTTGTAAATATCAGCTACATATGCCCTGTAATGACAATGTCACACCTTATTAATAGCCATCCTTATTACTATTAGATTTATTTGTATTTTTCCTTTTATCATTTTTTTTACAAGCAGTATCCCCAAAACAAACACAGTCAGAGTTATTTGCATACAGTATGTATTTACCCTCTACATTTGGTAACGTCACACACCTGAATGAAAATGGTTTGAATTGTGTCTTGTACCATTGGATTTACACAACATTATTAACACAAACTGGATTTAAAGTGGATGTAAACCCTAAAAAAAATGCCTTTTGTATGAAGTGTAGTTCGGTACTGCTGATCTCCTGTAGGAACCTCCTATTATTATGCATACACCCCAGCAAGATGGCGTTTCTCACAGTGGGTTTCCTTATGATAACAAAAGTGGACCATGCCTGCATTATGTGTTTTGAAATGGCCACATGTAGTCTCCATCAGAAGCCTGTGTGCTAGGGTGACAATACAGGAGCACAATAGTAAGACAGGGACACTCTGAATGCTTTCACCCTGAACAAGGATTTTCATAGAAGAATCACCAGCCACAATCCTCAACGTAAAACATTATGAAAACGAATTGAAAAAAATGATATAAAACCTCCTGTCAACAATTTTTAGATAAGGATGTGAGACTGAAAAAAACAACTTACCTTTAAAATTGCACCCTTTCTTATGAAACACCAAGGCAAGTAGATCTGAGGGTTATTGGCCTTGCAAAAGGTAATAGCTGGTCCCAGAGCAGGCAATTCTAAAGTAAACTTGTGTGCCCATAACACAAAAACTGGCACCTAAATTGTATTGCAGACACATCTAGTAACCTGAATTTTCCAAAACACAGGTAAATATGTAATAATAGCAACCAAACTCACTGGTTACCAGCTCTGGCAGGCCACATGCCATATCATTTTTTATTTACATACATCACACATCATGGGAATTAAGGGGTCCCTAGACATACCAATGTGCATGCATCTCAAAGTGCCTGTAATATTGCATAGGTGGTTATTTATTTATTTTTTTGCATTAAGGGTCCACAGGTTTATTTTATGACACACTGACAGAAAGTTGCATGCCAATTTCGGAAAAATATGGTACTGAATATAGAAGTGTATTTCAATAAAGTACTTTAATGTCCTAGAAGTGGATAAATCTTTACAAAGGATAGTGTAAAAGTATAGCAAGCTGTGGTATAGCTGAGGTATAATAAGTGCAATGATAAAAAGAGGTTAACTACCTTTTCTTTAGCTTCTTTTAGAAAGCAACATGGGACATGCTTTGGGAAGTTCTTTCTTTCTTTCTTTTTCTTTCTTTTTTTTCTTTCTTTCTTTCTTTTCGTTAGCGGTAGTACTGCCGAAATTCGTTTATTAAAAAAAAAACTTCACTCGCCCATGCCTGGACTTGAACCTGGGAACTTATCAATGGCAAGCCTGTGCTTTAACCACTACTCTATAGCATCTATACTTTAACCATAGAAGCATTTGATATATATGAATGCAATATGTAGCATTTGACAGCTGAGAATGTTGTCTGGTAGGACTGTTAGGGGGACCCCACGTTTTTTTCCCCCCATTTTTGGGGACTGGGGTTCCCCTTTAAAATTCCTACCAGACCTTAAGGGTCTGGTGTGGATTTTGGGGGGAACCCCACGCACTTTTTTTGTGTTATAAGGGGGGGGGTCCCTCCTAACATTCCTACCAGACCTAAAGGGTCTGGTATGAATTGGGGGGGAAACCTCACGGTTTTTTTTTTTTTTTTTCATTTTCTGCAGTCTAAAACAAAAAAAATATTTTGCTGCAACGGAATTCGTCCAATAGCAAAATGAAAAAAAATGACATTTAGTCATTTAGGTCAATAGGAGAATGCCAATTAAAAAGCAAAGAAAAAAAAACGTTATCCCTAGACTAGAACCTGCGACCTTGACAATGGCAAACCTGTCCTCTAACCTCTACGCTATATCTATAGAAATGTTGTAGAAGGTAAATGTTGTAATTTTTTTTCCTAATGTCGTTTTGCTGCAACGAAATTCATCCAATAACGAATTTCGGGAAATCGAGAATTTCGGATTCGTTTGCATTCGTCTTAGCTTTAATTCAGAATTCGGATGCATCCAAATTTCCGAAAATTCGTCCAAAACGAATTTCAGAACGAACCGAATCGCACATGTCTAGTTTGAAGTGCCTAATCCAAGGTAACCATGTCTTTTAAAATGTTGGCATACTATCCATAAGGCGCGCTGTAAGCTTCTCATCTGCAATTGTCTCATGTAATCTTAACTTTACTTCAGCAAAAGAGAGGCGATCTGACAGCCATACTTTGCTATGGTTTGTTTCACAGCAGTTAAGACATGCAGCATAAGCTTACTTTGGCTTTTCACGAGTCCCATAGACAGATGATTGAGAAGTGCCTCCAAAGAAATGGCTAAAACACTTAATCCAAGGAGCACCGAGTTTAATCCATAAAATTGTTTCCAGAGCCTATGCTAAATGGACAACCACCATATGTAAATAAAAGTTCCCAACACAGTTCTCCACACCTCTGAAAACACAACCCTGTGTGCCCAAGGATAAAGCGTTGGAGGTGGATAGGCACACTATAGCACCTATATAGCACGTTATATTTAGTTTCCAGGGCTTGGGCATTCAGAGAGCAAGATTTAGTCACATCCTAAATATGATTCCACATGTCGGTGTCAACATAGATCAAGGTTCGTTTCCCATTCATGTATTTAAGTATACAGTCTGATTTTTTTCTGTTTCAAAGTTTTTATTGACATTTTCAAGGGAAAAACAAAAGGATCATGACATTCAAATCACCAAATACAGTAGTATATCATAAAAGCCAAAACAATTTGTCATGAATTATGAAATAAAGTATTGTATAGGACTTCTGTTTTCCACATCCAAAAGCAAAAGTACATTGGTTCATAATTTGGCATTATAAAGAGTAGTCATATTCACCTAGAGTCAAACTGAGAATAGACTTTTAAAGAAAAGTAAGAAAAATAGAGAAAGATAGTAGAAAACAAAGAAAATAGGTCACCAGGTTCTGTCAGCTCCATTGAGTACCAATAGAGGTAAAGGTTTATATCGCGTCAGCTCCCCCCTCCAAAGGTCATTGATCTCTCAACTCTACTTAAAGCAATCAGATGCCCTCGAAAGCTGGACAGGTTCATGTCAGGATGCTGATGTCGAAAGAATAGTCATTCGTTCGACATAATATTATCCAGACTATGAACGAACTCCATGTAAGAAATCTGCTGTTTCTTCCAATTGCCCGCCAGTGTCAATTTTGCAGCTAGGAAAAGGAAAATGCGACAAGGCACGTTGAGGTCTAGTTAAGCCAATAACAGACAAATGGAAAAGAGCAGAAGTCTCTGACAATATGCTTATGAAATAGGTTTTCACGTAATCAGTAGATCTTTGTCCAAAACCGAGTAGCAAATGGACACCTTCACCAAATATGCAACATATCGCCCACCTCTGGACATTTCCGGAAGCAATTACCCGAGAAAGTAGGACATATGCAAGCTAATCGTGCCGGGACCATATTCTACCTTAGGATCACTTTATATTCAACCTCAGCATTCGTAACATTCAAAGAACAGCCAGCGATATTCCTCCAGACCTGACACCAATCCTCTTCAACCCACATCTGCCCAAGATCTCTTTCCCAGTTACCAACATAAGCATGCATATTATGCCAAGGTCATTTATTTAGTTTGGAATATAAGATTGTAACCAGACCAGGATCTTCCGGTGCATACAGACAAACATGTTCAAAACAAGTAAGTTAGTGTTACGGGTCTCTTCTTCCAGCGAAAGTAGAAATTCAGTGTTGGAGTTGAAGGTACCAGAACAGCTCGACTCCCGGGGGTCTTTTAATGTTCACGAAGATATGCCCAGGAAAGCATACTTGAGGATCGTAAAAAGTCATGAACTATAAAAAAACATTATCTGCCCACCACTGAAAAGCAGGAGGGTCATCACAACCAGGTTTAAACAGTGATTGAGCAAATAAAGGAAGAAGTGGTAAATATGGAGATATCAGGCCAGCAGAGTACTTGTGCAGAGAAATAACACAAGATCTAGTATGTTGCCATCAGCGTTAGGGTGTGTGGATTGCAGCTGCTGCCAGAGGAAAGGGAGTGCTGGTTTGAGGATTGAATATTAGAAAACGGGGCCATGATTGGGAGAAATATCCCCAGAAGTAAGGAGAAGCAGAAGGATGAGTGACGTGAGATGAGAGTGAGTGTTATAGGAGTGCACATGCCCCGGTGTCCTGGAGGTAACCCTAGCATGTGGGTTCAGAATGAGCAGGAGGTGATGAGTGCAGAAATAGGGGGAGGGTAGGACAGAAGGTAACATATATAATCTGTGGGGTGGAGGGGGAGCGGGGGGCAAAGGAAACAGTGTAGGAAGAGAAGACACAATTGTGAGAAGCAATGATAGAGAAAGCATGTTAAGTGATGTAGAGTAGTAAATATATTTTGAACAGAGAGAGGTGGACGGGGAAACCAGGATCACTTGCAGTCTGTCAGGAGCACTGTAGCTGTATATTTGTGCTTTCTCCAAGTGCCTTATCTAAATGCCCTGATGATGATGACGGCACAATTTAAAATAGACACTTTACATTCGAATTCGTTATTTCCCTCAATCGGAAATCCGGATGCATTCGAATTTCAGTTCAGAACGAAACAAATTGCACATGTTGATTATTTAGTGTTAACTAATAACCAGTGGCAAATCCCTGAAAGGAAATAATACTTACACTTGACTGCATTTTTTTTTAACACACTGAGCCACATAGTTTTTTATCTACATTTCTGACACTGTATACATGTCCACATTT